TTTTTCTACTTCATCTAGTCAGATGCATTGTTTAGTAGGTTTGCTTTGTGGCAGCATTATATTTCTATCTGGGTGTTAAAATAGTGCCATTGCAATACATGGACCTGCTACACAGAACCTACTGACTTTAATTATAACCTCTGCTGATACACTTTTCTTTTTTAAATGAAACAGGAATATCCAGTGATTGGATATGCAACTAAATTTGTATTATGATGCCTTTTCTTGGAATAAAATCTTCATCCAAAATATAAAGTGTGGTGTAAAGTAGAACACTGTAATCAACTCAGTGAGATCAAGATTTGAGCACTTCAGGTGAGCCAGCTATGGAATATGGCATCCTTTGCAAAAATTAATTTTCAGTTCCATTCAAAGTGTTTTATTCATTAAAGATAAATGACTTAATAATATCTAACATGTATTGAGTACTTACTGTGGGCCATATACTATGCTAGGCACTTTACTTACATTAGCTCATTAATTTTCACAACTCAATGCTATAAATAATGCTCTTATTCTCCGTTTTACAGATAACAATAAAGTCTCGGAAATGTTATGATACTTGTCATACAATAAGTATCGGAGGTAGGATTCAAACCCAGATCCAACTGAATCCTGAGCCTCTGTTCTTACCTGCCTCTAGAGACTAATTATTAGGAATACAATCTAATGCAGCACTGTCCAATAGGATTTCCTGTAATGACGGACATGTCCTATATTGTGCTGTCCAATGTAGTAGCCACTAACCACATGTGGCTACTGAGCACTTGAAATGTGGCTAACGCAACTGATGTACTGAAGTTTTAATTTTAATTAATTTAAATTTAAATAACTACATGTAGCCAGTAGTTACCATACTGGACTGGGCAGGAAATGTGCTGTTTGAGCTAATAATTTAAGAGGAAGAACTGAAGGATATGCTTCTTTTTAGTTAGAAGCCAAAACGTGGGGGCCAGCCCCGTGGCTTAGTGGTTAAGTTCGGCGTGCTCTGCTTCAGTGGCCTGGGTTCGGGTCCTGGTCGTGGACCTATATCACTTGTCAGTGGCCATGCTGTGGCAGCAACCCACATACAAAATAGAGGAAGACTGGCACAGATGTTAGCTTATGGTCAATCTTCCTGAGCAAAAAAAAAAGAAGCCAAAATGTGTTCTAATAAATTATTTAGAGCAGAAGTTACATTTAAAAGAGCTGATATAGGGCCGGCCTGGTGGCTTAGCGGTTAAGTGTGTGCGCTCCGCTGCTGGCGGCCGGGGTTCGTATCCCGGGCGCGCACCGACACACCGCTTCTCCGGCCATGCTGAAGCCGCGTCCCACATACAGCAACTAGAAGGATGTGCAGCTATGACATACGACTATTTACTGGGGCTTTGGGGGGAAAAAATAAATAAATAAAATCTTTAAAAGAGCTGATATAGGTTATCTTCTTAAACCATTCATCCTATAGGAAGTATAGTTCATGTGGATCTGTGGTACTCCACTGCCACAATATACCCCAAAAGAGCTGCTTGTTCTTGAAGCAAGGGACTTTGTAGTTTCTTTATTTTAGGAGTCAGATTTCTACTCATCCTCTTAAACTGGTGAAAAATTCTTTCCAGGAAAAGTTTCCCCCAAAGTTGTTTTCATTGGCCATAGTTCAGGTCTCAGAAGAATACAGTAAGTTAAAGCAGCCATCTGGATTTAGTGTTATCCTTAGTGCTGAGATGAAAGCATAACACTTCTTGTTCTCAACAGTGCTCAGCTTTAAAACACATCTTAACTTTCTATTATAGGAAAATAGAGCTTATTTCTTCTCTCCATATTATAACTAAGGGCCTAATGCATATAACAATTAAATAAATACCACATGCTGCAGTGTAAATTAGCCTGTTTCTTTAGCTACTTATCCTTTTAGTAGCTGCAGGTACTTCTTTCATTATTTTAATAAACTTTCTAGGAAAGCTACACATTCACCATCATCATAACCATCTTTTTGTTCTTAGCGACTTTTGAGTCAGAAAACAGAACTCTCTTAGCTTATTTTAAAGCCACTTGAGAGAAACTGTGTTCAGAGGTAGTTCCATCAGGGCTTTGACTGCAGTTTAAATACTTCATAAATCCTCTTTACCAAATGTTGAATACACTCATCCTGATGATTCATAAGCAATGCAATTACAATAGTCAATATATCCTTGGAAGATAGTGTCTAAAAAAGAAAATGTCTTCCTTCTATATGTAACAGAATGTAAGCACAGGAGGGCCTATTTTCAAGGTTAGAGAATGAGACCAGAGAAGAATCTAGCTCCTCTAATTCTCAGCCAATATTTTGGCCATTTATTCATTCAACAAGTAGTTTTGAATACTTTTTACATATTAAACAACGGGGATACAAGGGTGAACAAAATAGAGTCCCTAAACTCACAGCATTTAGAGTTCAGCAAAGAAGGCAAACAACTTAATACAGTAAGAGGCAATTCCTATTATGATAAAGGAAATACAGTGTGCTATAGAAATTCACAAGGCTTCGAGGTGAGAGAGAACACAAGAAATCCAGTAGAGATATAGCAATTTTAGAAGGTGGAGGGAAAAGGTGAGCTGAGACTGGAGAAGAAGATAAGCAGAGATTGGTTCACCTTATTCTCAGTGCAACGTAAAGTCATTTCTTATAGTGTTAGGTAAGGAATTCATGCAATCCAATATACAGTTTTAAGAAAGACTGCACTGTGGAAATCGGATAATAGAGCAACTGGATATTGTGACACCAGTTGAGAGATGAGTTATGGTGGTGGCCTGGACTAGAGTGTTGACAGTAGGGATGGAGTAAAATGAAAAGATAAGAGAGTGGGTTAGCAGTTAAGTGTGCGTGCTCCGCTATTGGCAGCCCGGGTTCGCATCCCGGGCGCGCACCCACGCACCGCTTCTCCGGCCATGCTGAGGCGGCGTCCCACATACAGCAATTAGAAGGATGTGCAACTATGACATACAACTATCTACTGGGGCTTTGGGGAAAAAAAGGAGGAGGACTGGCAATAGATGTTATCTCAGAGCAGGTCTTCCTCAGCAAAAAGAGGAGGATTAGCATAGATGTTAGCTCAGGGCTGATCTTCCTCACAAAAAAAATAAAAATAAAAAGAAGAAGAAGAAGAGATAAGAGAAATATTTAGGCCTGCGCAAAGATTAGGTGGTAGAAGGGGAGGAGATGAGAGGGAAATGAGGCACTTAGCCCTGGTCCTGTATAATCTGCCCCAATTCTGGATATATTTGACCCAAATGGATATATTCAAAAGGCTATTGTATATATAGGTCTGGTGCTTCAGAGAGAAGCCGAGTTGGAGATAGATTTGCGAGTAATCATGATTGTTTGTTAAGAGGAATTGTAACTACAAGAATAAAACTACAAAGAGAGAATGTGCATAGTAGAAGAGAGCCTATGGAAGGAACTCCAACATTTGAGTAGCAGCTGAGTCCATAAAGTGGGCCTAAAAATAAAAAAACTAAGAAGATGTGGCTGAAGAGGGATAAGAAACAAAGAGGGGAGGGTAATGGTTTGTAGTAACTAGAGTGTGTTACCAGAAGATTGGAGTAGTAAACATTTCAAATAGCACAAAGAGTTAAAGCTACAAGAAGAACTGAAAATGACTGTTGATTTAACAGTGTTTTTCAACTTTCTTTTCATTATTGCCTGCTAAGGGGACTTGTCAGACTTCCCTTCATTCACACCCCTCCTCCATAAAATTTTAATACCACCAAATATATATCTGTATATCTCTTTACATATTGTAAATATATCTGTGCTTTATACATAAAAATAGCATGATTTTTTTGCCTCACAAGAAGCAATATTTGTCCCTACTGAGAATGTATGATTTAACACATAGAGGACATTGGTGATCTTAGTAAAAATAGTTTCAGTGGTAGTTCAGTGCAATGATGGAAACAAGGTATACTGCAGTGGGCTGAGAAAGTGGGAAAAACAGACATACGGAGAGTAGATGATATATTCAAGAACTCTAGCTGTGAAGGGGATGCAAAGACAGGAAAGTAAATGGGAGTGGTTCATAAAGGAAGAATATTTTTAAATACTGAAGGAAAGGTGTGAGTAAAGGGGGAAAGGCTAATGATGAGGAGAGAGGGAATAACTGAAAAAAAGAGGACCCTGAGAAGGCAGAAAAGGATGGTATTGGGAGACTAAGTGAAAGGATTTGCCTTCCCTAAGAAGAAGGGACCCTTTTTCTTCTTTAAAAAAAAGGGGAGGTTTGTGTATTCGGTTGCAGGAAGATGATGGCTCTATTATCTCTGTGTAATAGGAGAGAAGGACATTTGTAGAGGGAGAGAGAATTCCTTTTCTCTGCAAATATCATTTGCTACTCATAAATTGAGATATTATAGAGCTACTTAAAAACATCTGGTCTGCAGGGAACTCCAATAGTATATTATGTTGAATGTTTAGAAATATTGTAAAAATCCTAACATTCAGCAAGAAAAGTTAATCTTATTGTAAAGAGAGCTTTCCTACTAAAGATATGTAAATTTCAGGTACTTCTTCACTCACTTCATTCCTCCACTTTTCCCATGGTCTCAACTGAAAGTGTCCTCCTTTCTTTCCAAAACCAATCCACTTGTAATTTTGATCCCATTCCCTTCCCTTTCTTCCTAGGTCTTATCTCTCTTGAATCTTTAATCTTATACATTGGTTACTTGTTTTCTGCACCAAAACATAATGTGCCTTGTATTCTTTAGAAAAACAAATCTCAAACCTTTTAGAGACCTTGCCACCCTCAAAACTCTTTTGCTTCATGCTCCAAATGAAGAAGGATTAAGTCTACACTTGCAGCCTCTCCTCTCAGTAATCTACTCTATTTAAAGCAGCTCTCTCAAGTGGCCCAATGACTTCCTAATCATCGAATCCAACGACCCATTTTCAGACTTCAACTTCCTCCTTTGACCCTTGCAGCATTTCACATAACTGATAACTTTCCCCCAAACAAAACGAACACTTCTTACTCTATTATGTGAAACTTCACCTGATTTGGTCCTCACCTTGAAAATTTCTTTCCGGCTTACTTTCCAGGCTTTTTTTTTTTTTTTCTTTTTAATCTTTCTACCATCTCCACATAAACCACGGTTTCAAACTTGATATATCCCAATTTTATAGTGGCACCACCTTCTTAATCTGTAGGCTATAAGCTTCAGCTTCAACCCAAATCCACCAAATCCAGCGAGCCACATCGCTCATCACTTTTCCATACTCACTGCCACCTCCTCAGTTTAGATTTCCGTCACCTCTCTTCTAAGAACTGCAACACCCTCTTCACTGTATTCCCCACCCCAGGCTCATCCAGGCGCCACCCTCTAACAGGACGTCCGCTCAGGTCAGTCAGGGGTTTTGTCCTCCACAGCAAAAGCCTGGGGCTGAGGTCCGAGTCATCGGTACTCCAGCTCACTGTGGGTGACAAGACTTTTTCCCGAGCCAGAGCACGGAGAGGGACCCCAAAGAGCTTGAACCTCTTGGGCCTGGGGCCTGAGAACCCTGGGCTCCAGGTGCACCGCTCCCTTCCGGCCCTCCTGGCAAGGAAGCCCGGAAGGCCGGGAGGGAGGAGCGGTCCCGGCCCACAGCACCAGAGATACTCCTGCAGCCCAGCCTGGGATCCGGAGCCACAGCTACTCAGCTTACTCCCCAGTTTTCGAGCTGTCCCCTGTCCGCAGACTCCTCGCCCCTCACACTCACCCCAACACCTGGGCCTGTCAGTGATTCGGCGCCGGGTCCTTTCCGGACGGAGGCTGAGGAAGCTTAGAAGGCCGTGAGGACCCCGCAGGTGGAGTGCCCTGTAGATTGCCTTACTGACAGCTTCAAAGAAACCACCTCGTTCTACTGTCTTGAAAAGATTAAACAAGCGGGAAGACGGTGAATGAGAAGAAAGATGTCTCTTGATGTTTAAGATCTAAATCTTCTAGATCACCCAGAATCTAGAAGAATGGGCGATTTCTGACCATATGGACTCAGGCGCTCATGCGCAGCCCAACTCAGTCTGGGGTCCCCCTACTGTCCGGTGGGCGGGGTCAGGAGGGCTATGTTTTAGCCAATTGGTGCAACCGACGGGTAGAGCCAATGGCTGTGGGTGGGGGAGGCACAGACTGAGAGGAGTCGGGAGGGGCGGGGTTCGGAGGAAAGGAGGCGGTGATGCGAGGAGGGGGCGGGGCCAGAGAGTCGAAGGGGTGGGGCGTGGGCTGGAGCTTAAGTAGGGTGGGAGCGCGAAGATGGCAGCGGCTGAGGAGGAGCGGAAGCCCAAGAAGCTAAAGGTGGAGGCGCCGCGAGCGCTGAGGTGAGGGCTACCCGACGTAGGGTGGAGGGCGACGGCGTCTGCCGCTAACCAGGGCCCACGTGGGGTTGCGCGGCTCCGGCACTGGGTGGTGCCTTCGCTGCGGGCATGGGGCCAACACGGAGGACCGGCTGCTCGGGGAGCTGCCCGCAAGGCTGCGACCCCTCAACCGGTGCCCGCCCAGTTTGGCCGAATCGCCGCTGCTCCGGAGTGACTCCGGCCGCCTTTGGCCAATCAGAACGCCAGCCGAGGGGTGGGGGTGGGAAGGCCGAGCCAGCTGTGGCCAGGCTGCGGGCGCCACGTGGGAGCCCTCCCTGTCGGTACTGTGACCCCCAGAGGAGGAGATTGGACCAGAGCAGTCATACGCGGCCGCCTCCTCTTCACTGGAGGTTAACGAGGAGGAGGCCCAGCTGCTGCTCTACGCTGAGGCAAAGAAAGAATTATCGGGGATTTTTCGTCAAGTGTCCCAGGAGGACGATTTGACCTTTCTTTTCGTTCACACTCTGAAAGTTGGCACCTTTGAAGACCCTCTATCAGGGACATACACCCGGCCTCCGAGGCTTTACCGGGGCCGTCTTTGGCTGAATGGATAGGAAAGGTTGATTTTTCTTTCCACGTTTTGGCAGCAATGGGGACAGTTCTGCCCCTAACACCTGCCTCACATGTGCTTGATGATGCCACTTTTACTTGTAAAAAGTTGTTTGCTAAAATATTCCTTCCTAATAAGTATAACATGCAGCGCGCACAGTCCTTGATGATTTTGAAATGTTCGTTGGGAGGCAGTGGTTTCTTAATCTAAAAATAGACATATCAAATTGATTTAAAACTATTAGGACACTCCTGATTATACAAGAGAAATCTTGTTTCTTCCAACATTACCCTTTTTTTCCTCCAAAAGAATGAATCATTCAGAATTGAAAAGAAAAGTTCACAGGGGCCTGGTGGAGTGTTCCTGCTGTTTTGAATTGACGGTGACCAGTGCCTTTAATGCATTCCTCCTACACGTACCTACCTTATACGAAGAAAATAAAACTTTTTTTTAACAACTCAAGATGTTCTATTTTTATTTTAAGCTTTAAAACTATAGAGTAAAGCAAAGGCTTTACCTGGGTGCGAGGCATGTGCTCTCCCTTCTGGGCCCATTTTTAGAATATTTCCTTAAAAGGCACCTCCTTCATAAAGTTTCCTCTACCGAGTTGGAAGACAGATGCAACTTTTCCTTGCTATCTTACTAGACATACGGCCTTAGGTTTTCCCTTATGCTAATCCATTGTCAAAGTGGTTTCCTGTTTTACAGATGAGGAAATTGAAGCCCAAATTAAACACTTAGATAAGGAACTGAAATATGGATCCAGAGCATGTGCGTGCAAGTTCATTGTTGTTTGACTCTACTATGCCTATTTTTATACAGCCACCCAAGATACACTTTTCTCTGCCTATGCATCCTTAAAAATAATGATGAATTCTAATGTTTAATACTTAAGTATGTGCTGGGCATTGTTTCAGCATTTTATCCATTTTAACTGATTGAATCCCACAACAACCCTACAAGGTAGATACTATAATCTCCATTTTACCAGGGAGGAAAGAGCCATAGAGAGGTTAAGTAACTTGATCAAGGTCACCTATCTAGTAAGTGATGGGGTTGGGATTTTAATCCAGGTAGTCTGATTCCAAGTCTGTACTCTTAATTACCATGCTATACTTATTAACTTAGAGCAGTTTATCCAGAAACCCTAGTGAACTGTTAACTCAGTTTTTGTTTCTCTACTTTTGCTTCTGTTTTTTTGTTAGTGTACATAACTTTTTATGTTGTTGCAATATATGGGGATATGATACATAATAATTCTTAAATACATATAATGCATTTTATATATATATATTTTTATATATATGCCATTAGTGTAATTTAAAATTTGTAAAAGTCCTTAGGCAACTAAAACTCATTTTATACAATATCTACTTAGTTAGTGCCACCTCTAGACATGAAGTTAAGGATGAGACGCTTGAGTACTGGGACCAATCTTTTAATTTTGTGTAAAGACCTTTTGGAATTGGTTCTTCCTACTTTCATTATATTAGTTTGGCTTTAAGGATTGCAGTGTGATAATGCACTGAGTGGTTAGACTGCATGCATTATCTCTGATGACTGCTTGACAGTTAAGGGGCTAGTTACCAGTTCCGATTAACTTTTAAGGAGAAAGGCTTATAAAATCTAAGCATAATTTAATGTGTAGAATCAGTGAATGGGGAACAAATACATTTATGAGATATATTTGTAGATGTCAGGGAATGGATTTAGAGCTTTGTGAGAATTTCATTTAGCTCTGAGGTAGCAGTTGTCAATGAGGGGAAATTTTGCCCCCAAGGGGACATTTGGCAATGTCTGGAGACATTTTTGGTGGGGAGTGCTAGTGGCATCTAGTGGGTAGAGGTCAAAGATGCTGTTAAACATCCTACAATGCACAGAGAGCCCCCTACAACAAAGAATTATCCAGCCAAAATTGACAGTTGTGTTGAGATTGAAAAAACTCTGCTCTACGGAAAGCATCTGACAAGTCTAGCCTCTCTTTTTCAAATATCCATTATTTTCTAGGTTGGATTGCTTTTCAGGGGAAAGCAGTTACTAAAGTTGCAAAGAAATAGGCAGGCTCTAACATGTTTTGCAGTGGGTTGGGGAACAGAAGGGAACAATAGTTGAGTCCCAGACTTTATACTCGCTGCTTTATATATGCTATCTCATTTAATTTTCCCAGCAATCTGTGAGGTAGCAGTAGTGATCCCCATGTTACAGGTGAGATATTTAGGGCTGAAAAGTTCAGAAGCATTCTCGGGAACTGCTCCCTAGAAGAAGATGTTCCATGATGATTACCTATATCTAGGACCACATAGTTCTTTTTTCTCCTTTGGAAATCTCATCCAAGTTCATTTCTTTAGTGGTCACCTCTAAGAGGATACAGTTCCTTCCAAGTCTTATTGAGCACATGCCAAGTCTGTTCTTTCAGTCAGACTTTTAAGTGCCTGCTAATTTAGGCATAGTGCTAAATATTAGGTACATATATATAGAGAGGTAAGACTCAGGTACCACCCTTTTGGTGGGAAATGAGTAGGGTTTGGGAAAATGATACCTGAGCATTCTGAAAGATGACAAGGAATAAACCAGGTATAAAGTAGGGTATGTGGCTTTATAGGAATGTTTGTTTAGAGGTGGAGATGGAAGAGAGCTGCCTCTGTTGGGGAACTACAGATGGTTTGGTTTGGCTAAAGCAGAAGATGTAGGGATTCCAGGCTTTGTACTGGAGGGTTTCACATGTGTGATCTTTCTATCTCTATATCCTTCAGCTCTCAGACCCTAATTTTAACTATCTGCTCAATATCTCCTTCTGAGTGTCTTGCTGACACTTCGAAGTCATATGTACCAAACTAAATACACCTGTTGTCCTAAATCTGCACCTTCTTCTATGGTTCCTGCATCTGTTAACGGCACCACTAACTTCTGTTTCTCCAAAGTTTAGAACTTAGATATTTGCTTCATTTTCCATCCACATGTAGTTATCAAAGTTGGTCTTTTCTTCTTCAGTAATGTCTTATAAATGCCTTTCCTTTTCCATTCCTGCTGCAACAACTCAAGTTTAGACTGTGTCTTGCTTAGACTTTGTATTGGCTTCCTAACTAGTGTCTCTACTTCCACTCTCAAGTTCTGCCTAATCTTCTTCAGGCATAGCTTTACTTATTCATCATAGCAAATATTTGTAAGCTCTGAAGTTGATGTTAGGAAGAGTTGAATCCTAAGAGCCCACATTGTAACTTTCTCTGACATTAGCAATTAAAGAGTGTTCTGAGTCATGACTTTTAATACTAAAAAGGAAACAAACTGCAATTCTCCAATCAGCAAATGTTGAGCTTTTCTCAAATTATTGCTTCCTAACCATTTCACTTGGACTCCCCTCTGCCACCATCTCGTACCTCACTAAGGACCCTGTCTTTTAAAATTGCATAGTAACCCTAGGAATAAAAGTCTGTAAGTATCTTAGGTGACCAAGCAACAACTTCAGTAACCTCTTCTTCCAAACCACATTTTTTTCTCTTTCAGAAAATTCTCTGGAAGATTACTTTATTTTTATAAACTGAACACACTGTTCTTGGAGGGGTCATTGTGAGGATTAAATAAGGAAAATATATGCAGACTGGAAAAGAGAAAGGATGATTGTGTGTCCTTAGTGTTGCACAGTGCCTGGTCGTTAGGAGCTGTTCAGTTAATGTTTGTTGAATGAATTAATCAGCACAACATAGGGTGGGACTGATAACCTTCACTTTTCTAGAACTTATATTTTTATTAACGCAGCCTGAAATTGAGTTTGGCTCTTTTTGGATGAAATAGCATGCTGTTCACTTAT